TATATATATATATAAAAATAAATACACAGAAGCACAAACAGAGCAGAATACAAAATCTATTGGTGTGACTATAAGATAACATCCAGGTGCAACTCGGTGCTTTTCATTCAGTAGAAGAAGTGAGCTCTTTGTTCATTTTTCAACAGTTTTCATTTCACCTTTCTAGTAGTTTTGTGCGTCATAGTTTAAAAAGTGACTACACAACTATCAGAATCAAGAGCCCAACAACAAATTAGTCTTTTAAAATGTCTCCAAGCCCTTCAGAGGGAATTCTGATGCCTGTCATTTCAACAGATTATTTAAACCAATTAATTTAGATAATGTACAGATAATTAACATAATTCTTTGGTATTTTTATGTCTGTGTGTTTATAGGGCTATTACCCCTCGAATAAGCCTGGTGTTGAACCTCGCCGTCCTTGTCGTCCTGTAAACATCACTCCCTGGTTGCATCTCTCCAACGTCACCAACAGAGTCACCGTCACCTGGGGAAACTTTGGCAAGGTCAGAGTCCGATGCTGAATCTCATACTTTGGCTCATGTGCACAGTGAAAGTTGGAAGTAAACATACTTTTTTTGTAAGCAGGTTTTCTAGTGAGTTAATAGTGTTTTCTTTATCCCTGAGTTTTGGACGTGTCCCGATCGTGATAGCTGTATTAAGCCTCCATTAAACTTGCCTGACAGCTGAATTGCTCTGAGTTAAGAATATATAGTCCGCATCACAAATCCTCCTTTAGTTTTTTTTGTACAATACCTATTACTTACAATACAATTCTTTATAGTGTTTTTTGGAGAGAGGAGATTGCAAATCTTTCCTGGCAAGAAGATTTGAACAGCATTTAGACATCCTCCTTTTATCCACAGTAGTCTATACTGCAGTCAAACAACAGTACTTTACTTTAATGTATTGTACCTGAGAAATGTTGCTGACTTAGAGAAAAACTAACCATTTCTTGGTTCGTTTCAAGTGGAACATAGGAATAAAGAATTGATTGCTCAGCATACTTAATCAATGCAAGTCCATAACATTGTGGTTGGGGTATTTTAGTCCATCAAAATCATTAATAAGATTTTGTTCAGCATGGTGGGTTAAAAAGGCATAATTTTTTTTAACATTCTCAGTAACATCTGTGTAGGGAATTAAAAGAAAGATCCAGAAGATGGTTAACATACTTTAATAGAAAGAATTTGCTGTTAGATTTTAACACGTTTGTTAGTTAAAGTGGCTTTGAGGTTCACTTTGTGTACATTCTCTATTTAGATTAGAAGCCGTTTGAAATAAGTGCTCACCAACTGTGAATCTTTGTGTTTTCAGCGATACTCTGTGGCAGTGTATTTAGTGAGGGTTTTCACTGCAGCAGACCTCTTCAGCCAACTCAAACTGTGCTCTGTTGAGAGTGCAGAGCGCTGTCGTGAACGCAGTAAGTGTTACTTATATACTCTGCCTAATTGGCTTTTGCAATTGTGACTGTGAAGTCCTGAGAATGGAAAGAACTGTCACTTCAATGTTGCCTCTTGAAGTCATTTAACTGATTGTTAATGTTGTTTTAGTAGGACTGGATTGTGTATTCAATTTATCACAACATATTGTCTGATAAATTATTATAATTAATATTTTGTCTGTTTTATGTATAGTCCAAGACAAACTACGATTTGACCCAGAAAGTGAAATTGCGACCACAGGCCTCCGAGTTTCTCTCATCTGTCCAGTGAGTATACCGTCATGATAATACCTGACCTGTTTAGATTTACTGTCCTACACATTTTCTATTTTAGTTTTACTGCAGTATCAAAGGCAACTTTCATAAACGTTTGTCCTATGAAGCTTGATTCCTTCAACATTCTTCTTCTTTTCCCTCTCCCTCTCCCATTTCCCAGTTGGTGAAGATGCGGCTCGGTGTGCCATGTCGAGTTTTAACTTGTGCTCATCTTCAGTGTTTCGATGCAGTCTTCTTCCTGCAGATGAATGAGAAGAAGCCCACATGGACTTGCCCCGTCTGTGACAAGCCTGCTCCCTTTGAGCTGCTCACTATTGATGGGTAAGGAGACAAAAGCATGCTCTGACTCGTCCCACCCCTGCAGCACCACCTTCCTTTCCATAAATGCTGAATATTAACACTGCAATTTTAGCTATCTGTGTGTTGAAGCCAGCTTGGAGGAAATGATTTAAGCTGCACGGATGTTGGGGACTTGTGATACAAGTTGAACCATGCCCTGGCTTACTATGTTTTCATTGTAAAAGCTTTGAATGTTTTGCATAACACAAGAGGATGGTTATCCATTGTGTTTTGTATTTCTGCACCTGCTGTCAGGTTGTACTCCAAATTTTTTTTATCCTGTAAATGTAAATGGCTGGTTGTTGACTCTTGACCTACTCATTGTAAAAAGGCTACGATTTAGTGAACCATATAATCGTGGGCCTTTTTTTATTTTTTTATAAACAGTACTCATTGCTGCAAGTGACTCTACAGACACCTACAGTCATTTGTTGACACTCAGTGTTTCAAGTGATGAGGACTGCATTTAGTCTTTTGTAGTATTTTGTCACCAACTTTGAATCGCAAATTCTTTACGTCATAGGAAAAACACTGATGAGACTGCAGTCCATTCAATAAAAATCCAAACATGATAAAATATTTTCATCCACTGTTTGGGCGTGTAGTTTCCTGCAAATTCTAAGCAGTTGTCACAGACACTCCCTTACTTTCACAAAGACTGAACACATTGTGTTGCACTTTGGCTTTGAGCTATATTTGCATTCCTTAAATGAAGCTCGTGTGAACGTCCCTTTTTAACTGATCACTCAGGGTTTTAGTTTTTACAGCGTAATTAATAAATGTCGGGTTTATAGAGTGGTGAAGCAGTGAAAATTACAGATTGAAGGCAATTTCAATTCATAATGAAAGAAGACTAATTCGAGCTTATTATATTTTTATAATTTTTCATGGAGTGTTACTTCAATAATATCTTGCTATTTAATAAAAAAATGTCAGGATTATAGCGATATGGTCAGTATGGTGGCAAAGTAAATTTGAAGGTGCATATTTACAGATATGATCTGCACACTGCAGGATCAAAATTGACTAAAGGGCAAAAAAAAAGCAAGAGTTTAAATGAAGTATGCTTTTACGGTGTGTAGCGACTCTAATTGGCAATGTGTATTTCAGGCTGCTATCTGAGATTCTGAAAGAGACAAGTGAGGACATTGAGGAGATTGAGTACTTAACCGACGGCTCCTGGCGACCCATCAGAGATGAAAAGGAGAGGGACAGGGAAAGAGAACGCAGCAACACACCAGAGTATCCTGTTGTAGATATATGTAAGTGTCAAACTCGCATGTCAATTTAACATCTCCTTCTCAATGTGTGTTTTTTTTTTTTTTTTCTTTTCTTTTCCGTGCTGTAGTTTGCATGTGTGATCAGTTTTAAAACCGCTTCATGTCTGCAGGCATTCCTGAGGCAAACGGTCATTCACCGGCCCACAGCAGCACCAGCCTGACGGGCAAATCTGGAAGCAGTTCTGTGGGGGCGTCAGGAGCCGCGGGAGGAGCCGCTGTGGCACCGGGAGGAGGTGCAGTGGTAGATCTGACTCTTGACTCCTCCTCTGAGGAGGAAGGGGGCGGGGCAGGAGGAGACAGTGAGGACACTGAGGACAGCGCTGACAGTCCTGCCCCGAAGAGGGGCAGATACAACTATGACAAGGACCTGGTCACTGCCTACTGACCCCACAGCTCTGTCCCCTCGTAGACTGACACACACACAGACAGAGAGGCAGGGGGCTAAAAACTCGAGGACAGGAACACCGTAATCCACTAGATGCAACAACCCTCCCATATGCCCAAACGTCAGAGCCTTTCAGCCGCTCTGGTTTGTATCCAGACAAAACAGACACACACACACTCAAATATGCACTGTTATTGAATCTTCAATCTAGAGTGATTAGGATTCCTCTTTACACCACTGGAAGCAACTCCAACTCTTTTTGGCCAACCATCACCTTGCAGTGAATATCTGTACCGTCCTGCCTCTACTAAAGAGACTGAATGGATCGAGCACCCCACCACCACCACCGCCCTTCCTCCTCTCTCTCCAGACTATTCCCCCTCTACCACCGCATCTCCCTTTGTATTTGACTTGGCTCTTTTAGCCATGGGCGTTCAATGTTTGCATCTCTGATTTTTGTCACATTTGTGATGAACAGGCAAGTTGAAAATGGAGGCTCTCAGTAGTTTTTGGTAAAAGGTCAAAAACAACTAATTGTAAAGAGCATGAAACATTTAGGGGAGAAGGCAGAGATATCTGGAGTGTGATTCAGAATTAAACCTGTCCCATTGTGTTATTATTTCTTTGTTCAGAGAATGAATTCAAAGCTTGAAAGGGTTTTTTCAGGAATTTATCCTTTTAATTATGAAAGGGCAGAACACAATACTGGCCTCAATGTGTGATGCTTTCCATTTTTGTTTTGTCCTTAGATAAAGAGAACCTACCTCAGTCATAAAAACTTAGCAGACTGATCAGAGACTAGCTTAGAAAGAAGTGGAGGACAGAAGAATTGATGAGTCTTTCTGAAGCCAATTTTACACTGGAGATTTTGTTTTCCTACTTTTTCTTTTTTTTTCGGGGGGGCGGGGGTTAATTCCATCGTTTCATGCAGCTCTGTTCCCTCTGCAGCAACAAAATCTTTGTCGAAGGGTGAGTTAGATTGTGGATAACCAAGCTAACTGTAGGTGTCAGTGATTTTAATAAAAAACAACTTGTAGGTGGAACTGTGCCACTCTGTAAAACCCTTAGAGCAGTTATCTTGGATATAGCAGGAATGATTAGTAACTCATCAAAATGACTGTATGGCAGCTGGGCCAAAGCAGGTGTATTTTAAGAATTCACTGACACGATATGGTTGTGAGATTTTGGTGCCTTTTTTTTTTTTTTTTTTGAGTGGTCAAGATTGGAGCCCATTGTTTTAAGGCTAGTTGAGCTGGCCAGCATACGAGGCCCCAGTCTGAGAGAAGGTGTTTGATTTCCTTAGATGTTTTTCCAGTAGGAGAAATGGACAGAGAAGCAGAAAGAAATCTGTGGTAAAGGACCGTTATGGAGTAGGATTCAAGTGCTATCATCCCCCCCCCCCACACACACATTTTAGTCTCCTCTTCTGAAAGAGTCCTATTTATTTAATTGCTTCACATTCTCTTAACAGTTGTTTGTAATAAGTCTACATAATTTGTGGCTGTAGTTCTGTACAGACAGGAGCTATTAGTTGCAGAAAGCAGGACACCTCTGCTGCTGTGGTTTGAGTGTTGCGTTATAATTGGTCCGGGCTCATGGCTGTGCTGTTGATGAACACTCCTTTTCTTTTCCTTTTTGAATGAATCCAACCCGGGTCAAAGCACCATTCAGAGTCATCTGCTACAGTGGTTCAACATGTCTGACACAAGCAAACGTAATGAAGTGTCAATAAGTGCAACCCCACCAAGCTTAAAGTCATTGATTGGATTACAAATGGTCCGGTCTGGAACAAGTGGAGCTGCTCCAACCAACAGTCCCCCTCGGCGTCCTTACAATGTAGATAAGGTCACACTATTTGCTGGAATAGAATTGGACTTTAATTGCTACATGCTGTAGGCTTACAACTAATATTCCTCTGCACCTGCACTAGTATTGTCAGTATGTGATGGCTGCTCCTCAGGATCCTCAGGCTGCATGTGGCTTAAGGTTTGTCCGTACGGAAGGTCGTCAGGTTTGCTTGAAGATGAGAAAAGGTTGTTACTGTGTTGCTAGAGCTGTTTGCACTTTCATCTGATACTTCATCCCAAGTTTTATGGCTTATTTATTTTAAAGCCATCATGTAGTGAGTATTAATCAAGGATCACTGACCATTGTGATCAGTTCTCCTCAACCATCTCGTGTACGGGAATCAGAAAATGTGAAACTTAAAAAAAAAAAAATAAATAAAAAAAAACAACTCAAAAAAAAAAATGGCGGTCCTACTCCACTGTGAGACACTTGGAGGGGGAGGAGAAAAAAAGTAGTGACTCAGATCAGTTCTGCATCGTACGTTTCCCTCTCTTATCATCCCTTTTGTTGCGGTTTGATCAGCACAGAATCTGGTTTTCTTTTACCTTGCTCCAGTGCACAGAGAAATGACATTTACACATCGATCTGGGGCATCACTGTTGCAAGTGCATCCTCCTGATGGGGTCGATGATGGAAAAAGTAGGTCGAGTCAAATCTGGTCTTCCATTTTTCTCCTTCTTTTGACACTTTGACATAACTTACAAAGTCAATATAGTGATGAAAAATGTTTGATTATCCACGCAAAATTGATTGATGGCACTTTGCCTGTAATACATCAAGTCCCTAAAAACGGATCTTCTATATAAGGTGCATCAAAGCACAATAATGTAAAGAACTCTAATAATACCTTGAACTAGGCAATTTGTATTTGTAAGTAACTGCTATACATATAAAAAAATGACTTTGTTCATTTGTTGATAGGTATAGAAGGTCATTATTTGAATGGATTTCCTTAACGTTTCTTTGCCTTATGGTTAAAGATGAGAGGTGGTGCAGGTTGTGTCTGTGGAACTGAGCCAGATACATTTGCAGGCTGTTGGGGAGCTGGAGAGAGCTGAGGGTCTGGTCTTTTTGTAGTGGCATCTCTTCTTATAATAATGCATAAGGTAGCATGGGCAGAGGCTTACAATCCATGATGTAAATGTTTTTGTTTGTTGTGTTTTTTTATATGTTCATATTAAAAGACAATAAAATTTAAATAATATTTTATTAAGCCTTGAATCGCCTCCAGTTGTTCCTATAGGCAAACCGACAATAAGAAGCTGTTGAGGGCAGCAGCACCCGAAGCTGATACTACAGAGGACTGGGAGGACTGGTTGAGGTGGAGATTATGTCCTGTACCAAATTCTCAGATCTGGGGACACATTTGCCTGTTGAGGTTAAAACTGTAAAATTTAAAATGATCGTATTCTAACAGCTGTTATTGACGTGTGGAATTAATTAAAATCAATTCTTAAAATCTTGTGTGCCGTCGTTTATTTATTTTTTTGAAAATTGTGTGTATTCAGCCAGACAGACGCTATTAATGACAGAATCCACAGTGCATTATGCATCACATCTTTAATGTCTGCAGATGCTCTTAAAACCATCAGTGTCACCCTCAGTTGAAGCCAACAAGTCTTCTGTGAAATCTTTTAAACTTAAAGGTCTTCTTGGGGTCACAGTTACATTCAAGTAGTTTTTTTTTTGGGGGGGGGGTTATGCCCTCATTAGGAGACAGCAGATGGGGTCTAGGTGATAGGAAGCGAGGGGAGAGACGGATAAGTAACAATGCAAGAAAGGATCCTGGTTCTACTTGAGATAATTGGCGCTTTGCAAATAAAAGCCT